TCTAGCTTATATTGACACTTAGATGAGAAAACTGAGGGTCAAAAAACAAGTAATTTGCTCAAGTTACAAAACTAGTCAAGGAGCTTTAAGGATAATCTTAAATGATCATTAATAATATCTTACCAATCAACATTTTTATATTTGTAAAATAGCCTTGAGATTTAAAAATTTTTATCATTTGTTAACTTGTTATTAAGCTCACAGATATTTTTAATAAACTTTGAACTTTGTTGTCTTTAATAGCAAAACCAAAAATATTTCCGTAGACCAAATCAAGGAAATTTTGATATCACAGCAGTTACAAAAAAATTTCAGGTATAATGAGTGTTTTAAACAGAGTACCCTTTAGTATTGCAAGTGTGAAACATGTACACACTTGTAATATAACCTCTGTAGTATTGCATTTCTCTCTGTTTGCTTATCTCTGTCTTCCAACAGACTTTCGTTTGTTAAGCAAGGAAGGGGTATATTGTATTCATGTTTGTCATGTTTGTAACTCTATCCTCTGACAGTGTACCTAGGACAAAGTAGACATTCAATAAATGTTTGTTGACTGGTTGAATAAAGAATACTTGGGAGGATTTACATGAAATAATATTACTTGAAAAAAATAATACTTGGTTGTATATGTAAAAATAGATATATCCACATTAACAAATATGAAAATTTATACTACTATACTAGTTTAAAATTTGAATGCTCATAAGGTTTCTTTTATTACTATAAAACTATTGAGTTTGTTAAATTTTCTTAATAGTGTTTCATTTACTCTGAAGGAAAGGCCACTAGGTATGTGGTGAAAGATGTTTATCTGTTATTCTATAAATTGACAGTGACATTTTGAAATAATGAAGCACTGTACTTACTTAGGAATTTATAATAATAGGTGTGTTGCCATTCAAAATTACATTTATCCTGAAATAGAAGCATTGATTAACAATAATTCACTAAACAGATTCTTCAGCCATTTAAATCTTGAGTCTCATTAGTACCAGATTTACAGATTATGTTGCATAATAATATGAGTGCACAATATTTGCATGCATATTCTAGTTCATTCTTTCATCTTAATTTGTGTTCCTTATAATTCATTGGTAAAGAAATTAACTTTAATTCCTTTAATACTGAGGTAAGATTTAATATAAGGGTTACAGGAAAAATCCGAGACTTCAAATAATTGATCATTTTACTGAAATTTGATGACAAGCAATAAGGATTTTTCTTTGTTTTCAGAGTGTCTTCATAAAAGTTGTTATTCAGATCCTAAGTGGAGTTCCTATGAAAAACTTTCTATGAGAGCTGGGAGGCAAAGGGCATTTATAGAGGTCTAGATAAAGACATGTACATATGCAAATATATATATATATATGAGGATGGGGAAATAGATCTATGTGCATATATTTATAGGTTTAGTATTAAGGTAGCAGAAGGACATTGGGCCT